TTATTACTGTAATAATGGTAAACGCAGGTGTTTACATCTTATTGTTGGTGACTGTACCTAATTACTTCCTCAATATCAGCTGTTGTTGCTTAGCATCTGATCGCGTCCGATAATTTATATATAAGTTCACATTTGTTAATATGTGGGTAGTGTATTTGACTACATATTTATTCTTATTTTTACATTAGCTAACATTATTTTGTGTAAGATTATACTATGTAGTTGTTTGCTATTCCTAATAAAAAAAAAACCTATTTAGCTGTTTTCAACAGCATGCAAATATTCAAAAGTTTTTTATAATAAAATCAATTACTAAATTTCATCTATATAAACAAACTAAAACGTCATTTTACAATCTTTATAAATAAATAAATTCATATATATATATATATATATATATATATATATATATATATATATATATATATATATATATATGACTGAATTTATTTATTTATAAAGATTGTAAAATGACGTTTTAGTTTGTTTATATAGATGAAATTTAGTAATTGATTTTATTATAAAAACTTTTGAATATTTGCATGCTGTTGAAAACAGCTAAATAGGTTTTTTTTTATCAATTATAAAATATAATAAAATCAATTACTAAATTTCATCTATATAAACAAACTAAAACGGCTAAATAGGTTTTTTATATATATATATATATATATATATATATATATATATATATATATATATATATATAATAAATTCATATATATATATATGAATTTATTTATTTATAAAGATTGTAAAATGACGTTTTAGTTTGTTTATATAGATGAAATTTAGTAATTGATTTTATTATAAAAACTTTTGAATATTTGCATGCTGTTGAAAACAGCTAAATAGGTTTTTTTTTATTAGGAATAGCAAACAACTACATAGTATAATCTTACACAAAATAATGTTAGCTAATGTAAAAATAAGAATAAATATGTAGTCAAATACACTACCCACATATTAACAAATGTGAACTTATATATAAATTATCGGACGCGATCAGATGCTAAGCAACAACAGCTGATATTGAGGAAGTATTTAGGTACAGTCACCAACAATAAGATGTAAGCACCTGCGTTTACCATTATTACAGTAATAATAAAGTTTGTACTTAATTAAAGTGTACACATGCCATTGTCAGCGACTGCACGTAATACAAAATTAATCATTAACAGAACATAATTACAATTAACATATTTATAAAGATGACCTAGGAGAGATTGTTGTTAAGAACTGCGCAACTGCACAACGCGCAACATTTTATTCCATATATTATCTATGGTATAAGTGATGTGTGATAAAAAAGTATCCATCTAAATCTAAATAGCGACATAACGTAACAAAAGAGTTAAAAAAAATGGTTAAAAAAACTCACTAAAAAGTGTATTACAGATGTTACGCTTGAATTGAAACTCAGAAAGATGGAATATGTCAGAGTCAACAAAGTTATCATTATAGATATCGATCATTTGACGCAGAGGTGAGCGGATACCCGCTTTGGTACGACATTTGGCAGTTGCGAACAGTTTACGAACGCGCACCTCCCGCCTATGAACCGTTCTTGGGACAATATAACATAATCTGTTGGTCAAGTCAGTACAATCAAATTTATTATTAATGATACCATGAAGTATCATACATACAAGGAGTTTACGCCTAAACTGAAGAGAATGCAGTTTATAACTATTCAACAACTGATCATATGACATAAATGTGCCATAACATCTGTAGTGCATGGATCGCAGATATTTACGCTGAACATTTTCAATTAAGTCTACATACTTATTGTACAGAGGGTTCCATATTGGTACGGCAAACTCAAGTTGGGAGCGTACCAAGGCCTTATAAAGATAAAGATACGTACAGGGTTTCTTAAAGTTCTTACATGACCTCATCACAAAACCATACATTTGAAAGGCTTTTTTAACAATTTTGTCAATATGGAGATCCAAATGCAACTTATTATCCGATATAATACCTAAATCACGCAAAGATGTGACTTTGTTTAATAAGACATTACAAAGAGAATAGCTATAATATACAATTTGATGTTTTTTTGAAAAAATTATATAACTACATTTGGAAAGGCTTAAATGCAGTTTATTGTCATTGCAGTATTCAGAAAGTCTGTTCAAATCCTGTTGTATTAGAGAGCAATCATAGATAGATGTTATAGATTTATAAATTTTTAAGTCGTCTACATACAACAAGAAGTTACAATTGTGAAAACACTGTCCTATATCATTAATAAAAATGATAAATAAAAGCGGACCAAGGATGGATCCTTGTGGCACGCCTGAAGTCACATGAATACTCTGAGATTGAAACCCATTGATAACTACTTTTTGGCTTCTGTTCATAATGTATGACGAAAACCAGCGTAACAGATTACCCCGTATGCCATTATAGGCAATTTTCTTTAAAAGCAGTTCATGGTCTACCTTGTCGAAGGCTTTTCGAAAGTCGGTATATATAGCATCCGTTTGAGCATTATTGTCCATATTATCAAAAAGAAAGGATACATAGATCATGAGATTAGTGATAGTGGATCTTCCCTTTACGAAGCCATGTTGTTCTTTCAAAATGCTATCATGTATAACTGGATAAACTTCGTTATGAACCAGTCTTTCGAAAAGCTTCGACAAGGCAGATAGAATAGAGATTGGTCTGTAATTATCCACCTCATGCCTTGAGCCGTTTTTATGTACAGGCACTATATATGCCCTTTTCCAGATCTCAGGAAAGATCCCAACTGCAATACATTGGTTATAAATAATACACAGAGGCTTACAAATACTATCAGCAGTTTTAACTAAAAAGAGAGCTGGAAGTCCATCTGGGCCAGAACCTTTTGACGGGTCTAAAGATTGAAGTTCTCTAAGGACCTTACTTTCACTAAAGTATAGATCGCATAAATGAACATTATTAGGAACAGATGTCGAGGGTACAGACCAATTTTCTATAGACAAAGTTGAAAGCTCATATACTGAGTTGAAAAACTCAGAGAATAAGTCACAGATCTTATTAGGTTCACTGGCTACAAAACCATTATAACACATATGCGAGGGAACACAAGACGATGTTTCGTTATTGGAAATGAAAGACCAAAAATGTTTAACATTATTTTGAATGCTATTTTCAACTGAGCTTATATATCTAGAGAAACATTTACGAGATTCCAATTTGAAACGTTGCCTATAAATTGAGAACTGTTCATAATCAGATGCATTTTTATACTTTTTCCATCTAACCCATGATTTACGTTTGTTATTTGCGATGTGAATTAGGGAAGATGTAAACCACACCGGATATCTTGCAGATCTGTAGGACGCTGGTGGGGTATGTTTATCGATTTTATTAAAAACTATATTATAAAATATCTCAACTGCCTCTTCGACATCATTCGTATTTAGCAGTGAAGACCAGTCTTGTTTATTCAAATCTTCAATTATAAACTCATAATTAGCATTGTGGAAGTTGTACTTCAAAATAGATTGTCGACGCATAGTAGGTAATGGTGTGGTATTAAATATGAAATTAATACTAAACGGCGGGTGATGATTGTCCCTAGGTAAAAGAGTATTCGTAAGCAGAGTGATACTACATTCAATATTGGAAATCAATAAATCTAGTATATTACCTCGAATGTTTTTAATGAAATTATACTGACTAGCATCATGAAGCGACATAAAGTTAGAAAGTTGGGTAGATAGTGTTGACAATGCACTACAGTCCAAGACTCCAATATATCCATCTTTAGGAACCCATGTGATCTCAGGTAAATTATAATCACCAAAAAATGAAAATCCTACTACGGAGGTATCTTCAAGAAATGTTGTTAATAGCTCTAAATACGCTGAATATGTATCAACTGAAGTTTTAGGAGGTATATAGACTGCAGCAATAATATGACGCTTAAAGCCACATGAGCTAGGAAGGCAAACGCACACATTCTCAATGCTATCCAACAAAGTGTTCTGATACCCCGGGATAATAGGCATAGGTCTTAAACCCTTCAGAACTGCAATCAAAACACCACCCCCGTCACTCTTGCCAGTAACGCTACGATTGCGATCACAACGGTAAACTGTATAACGCTGATCTATGAATTCGCTATTATCAATCTCTGGTATTAACCAAGTTTCCGTCAGAATAATAAGGTCATATGCATGAGATAAAATATTCATATACAACGTATGTAGCTTAGTACGAATACCTCTGCAGTTTTAATAATAACACACTATATTAACCATTCTTATAGTCAGAATAATAAATTAATGTTACCATGCAATGATATGAAAACGTCGCATTTAGGCATAAAAAATATATAATAAATATGAACCCCGTACAATATGATACTTTACATAATAGATGATTGCATACACTCCCAACTTTAATAAGGCGATGAAACAACTTTATTAACAATACAACTGCACATACACTTAATCTTGTTAGATCTAATTGATACACACAAAAAACAAATATAACTACAAAAATAGAAAAAAGAAAAAACACTATTTTAGGATAGTAAATAGATGCTAAACTATTTGGAAATATCGCTAAGTTTCTTACTAGAACCGGCTTTGATCTTAGAGATGTCTCCCTGAGTTCGTATAGCGATAGCCGCATGGTTGTTTGATTCCCGTACAAGTATTGTAGCGTGCTTAATCCAAACGTATTGGTAGTTCTCTTTCTTTGCAGTTTCACGGCAGTCACGAAAGAGCTTCTTCTTTTCCAATGTTAAATGCTCATTCATAAAAACCAACTTGGGTACACCAGAAATGCCAATATCTTTGGTTGTAACACCTTTAGCCTTGCGAAACGTGCTCAGTATGTTATCTCTTAATATTCGTGATGAAACATTTACAATAATATTTTTTGGTCGATTTGTATGGGTTTGCACTTGTGGAATACGATGAATAGAAATGATATCTCTCTGCTGAATAGATAGATTAATATGTTTACCAATATTTGCCATTAGTTCCATCAAGTTTTCATCCCTTTTTTCTGGGACACCATATCTCTATGTTACAGTTCCTAGCATGCTGCTCCAAAGCTTCAATCTTCGACTTAAGAGAAGATATGATTTCGATGGTTTTATTATTTTTTGCACAATCGGTTTCTAGCTTACCAATGCGTTGTCCCAATTTGTCATTCATGTCACAATTAAAGTCCAGTGCATTCTGGATCTCCAATACATCTTTTTGTAAGTTATCATGCTTGTTCTCTATTAGGTGTAATTTCTGTTTTAAATTAGTCTGGTCATGACGCAGAGACACAAGTTCACCCTTTATATCCTTCGTGGTGACAGATAGAGTATCCAAGTCGGACCGCATTAAATCGATATTCTCACTAATGCTTGATATTTTATTATTTAAATCATCTCTCAAATCTTTGAGCTTATTTTGCATCATATGTGTAAATTGCTTAAAAGATTCCGTTAACTCACAGTCAGGTTGTTTGCGTTTCCGCAGTGACACATTTTATAGTGCATCATTTTCTATGCTCAAATCAGGGTTAGATGAGAATGGCTTGGATGGTGAACGCAGCATAGTAGTGCAAAATCCAAAGTAATATCGATTAGAATGTAAACAAAAATAAATATTATTTATTTTCGTTTTAATAAAGTATCGTTAGTACCTTGGTAGGCCGTATGACGTAGTAGATACAATGCGCGCAGGCAGCTGCAACAAAACCTGTTTACTTGCACGATTCAAGTGATGTTATGTGAGGTAGGTTCTTAACACATAACAGTATAACATCAATAAATAATAATTTATTATTTATAAGAAAACATTTTGTACCTATTTAGTTGCAAATAAAGAATTTGAATTTGAATTTGAATTTGTTGGCCTTTTTGACAGCCTAGTGGATGCCCGGAGGGACTTGACACCAAGCCAGAAGATGGCGTACCTCCTGGCCTCACTGGAGGGGGAGGCCCTGGGCATCGTCGGCCATTTGAAATTGTCGGACGACGCCTACCAGACCGCCCGGGACCTCCTCGCTGGAAGGTACGCCAACGTCCGGCGAATTGCGGACGAATACGTTAGGCGGCTTCTAAACCTCCCGCTGCTTAGGGACCGGGCCAGACTACGTCCGGACATCGTAAATCCAGTCTTGGTAGCCCGTAATTCGTTGAAGCGGCTGGATTTACCGGTGGACGAATGGTCCTTCTTGTTGCTCCACATCGTGCTGTCCCGCCTGACTCTCGATCTTCGGATCTATTTTGAGGAGCTAGTTTGACAGCGGGGACGGCGCCTTCTATATTCCACCCTTCAGGGACCTGCTGCGGTTCTTGGAGGAGCATTGTCGGCAAATTGAGAACGCAGCGGGCACCGTCGACGACCTACAGGTTGCCAATCGAGCCGTGCCCAGGGAGAGGCGGAATCCACCGGGCAAGTCGTCGTCAACCCTCCTAAGACCGAGCGGAGCTCCCGCGGGAGGGCGCCGCCCCCTACCATCTTATAGCGGCCTACCGGCCATGGAGGCGCCCCCCTGCTCCTATTGTCGAGCATCCGATCACCGGGTGACGTTGTGCCCGAAGTTGCTGGGTAAGCCGGTCTCGGCGAGGCGAACTATCCCCAAGGAGCGCCGCTGGTGCTACTCGTGTTTGGAAAGGCATCTCCAACGAGACTGCCCGCACCAGCGGCCCTGTCCGCACTGCCAGGGCAATCACCATGCCGTTTTGTGCCTGGCTGCGAACGGCGCTTCCTCTCGTGGCTCTGCCGGGCCCTCAACTACCACGGGCGGGGGGGCGCAGCCACGCTCTCTGTCGGGCGACGCTCGGCGCTCCCCTGCCGTCCACCGTGCCCCTGGGTTTGAAGGGGGTCCCTCCCTCGACCAGTTGGGGGGTCGTTCCCCCAGGGGCGGGGGGATCGTCACCCCTCCTCAGCATGTTGAGAGGAAATTCACGGCCACTCAGCGGTCAGCTAGACCCTTCTCCCCCCCGTTAGCTGAGCGGCCGCGACTGGAGTACCACCCTCCCCCCTTTGGTTGGTACCGGTACTACGGGGTTCCTGCGACCTCGAATCTGTCCCGGGCCTCAAGGCCGAGGTTCCTTGAAGCTCCCCAGGTCAGCCCGTTCGGTTATTTCCAACCGCGGGTCGTTGGATGCCGCCGGATTGCCGCTTTTGGGACCCCCGGTTCGAGTGCCGGTCCGATGGAGGCAGCCCAACTAGGTAGCTGCGCCCTAGCTCCCACCACGGCCGCCTCCACTGATCGTTTGAGCCGTCAACAGTCTACTTGTCAAACTGTTCTATTGCCGACGGCCTCAGTGAAGGCGTACAACCCGAGTGGCGACTGTTTAACGGTTCGCGCTCTATTGGATTCGGGTTCACAACGCTGTGTGGCCTCCACTTGATTGGTGGGAAGACTAGGGCTCCCCTAGCGAGCGTCGCGAAGCCTTGATGCATTGGTCCAAGCGGAGCATTTTGAGCCCGTGATTGAAATCTTGAAGCGGGGCTCCGTTGTCAAGGGCGCTTTGGCACGCCTGAACCTCTTCCTGTACGACGCTGGGATGCTGCGCGTTGGCGGACGTTTGAAAAATTCTCAACTGCCGTACGGGGCTCGACACCCGTTACTGCTCCCTAAGGACGGCGCCTTTGTTTGGTTGCTGGTAACTCACCACCATGTTCAGAATGCCCACGCTGGGTGTAACGCTCTTTCGGCTATTTTGCAGCGGGAGTTTTGGATTTTGGCTGGCCGACGCACTATTCGGAGCGTCATTTTTAAGTGCATACCTTGTTATAAACTGAAGGCCACCATAGCGCAGCCTATGATGGGTGACTTACCACCCGACCGCGTCAGGGCCAGCCGACCATTCGCTGGAGTCGGAACCGACTTTGCTGGCCCCTTCCTCGTCAAGTCCTCCAACCTTCGTGGCGCGCGTTCACATAAGGCCTATCTGTGCGTTTTTGTGTGCCTCGCAACTAGGGCCATTCACTTGGAACTTGTAAGAGCCCTCAGCACTGAAGCCTTTGTGGCCACGCTGGGCCACTTCACGTCGCGTCGCGGTTTGCCGGACCTGATCCGGACTGATTGCGAAACGAATTATAAGGGCACGGATAGATGTTTGAAAGAGGTCGTCGAATTTCTGTCCAGCAACAGGACTAATTTAGGTACTGTGATGGCCAAGAAGAGCATCCAGTGGAAATTCGACCCTCCGGCTTGCCCACACTGGGGCGGTATTTTTGAGGCGGTGGTTAAGGTTGCAAAAACGCATCTCCGTCGCGTTATTGGCGAAACTATTTTGACAGTTGAGGAGCTTTCCACTGTATTCTGTAAAATTGAGGTGGTACTCAACTCTATGTCCCTCTATCCCCTCTCGTCCGATCCGAATGATTTGGAGGTTCCAACCCCGGGCCACTTCTTGATTGGCCAGCCGCTTAACGCTCTGCCCAAGTACCCTTTCAGGGAAACAAACTCTTCGCGGTTGAGCAGATTTGACCTGCTGCAACAAATGAGGGTCTTTGGCACCGATGGTCTCTGGAGTACCTACATCTTTTGCAGCAGCGCGTTAAGTGGTCTGACAAGACGGATCCTTCTCGGGTTGGAGACCTCGTGTTAGTTAAAGAACCTAACGCTTTACCTTTGTATTGGCGCCGTGGGCGCATTGTTAAGTTGTCGTATGGACCGGATGGGGTGCCTATGGTAGCCGAGGTTTTGTTTGGAAATTCGGTCTTGCAACGTGTCGTCGCGACCCTATCCCGTTTGCCAATTTACTCGCGGGCATAAGTCCTTATGCCCGGGACGGGGGTTTGTTTAGGCTAAATCATAACACTTGAACTTGCGCGCGTCCTTGTAAAAATCTATCTGTCTTACGTGTAAATGAAATCGCTAAACCGATTATGAAGTAACTTCACGAACCGTAGAACAATGTCAGGAGTGGTCGAGACTATATTTTATCCAAAAGAAAAATAGAGAAGATTATTTTTTTGAGAAAACGAAAAATTTATAAAACCAATGGTATCCCCATATCGTCCCGTGGGTGTCGTAAGAGGCGACAGAGGGAATCTAACCAGAATATGGACAGTAGTATCTTCTTAATAATTACTAAAAACAAACTGGCTAAATGTGGTTGAGATAAGGTTCCATAACTTGCCGGTCACAAAACGTGGGCTTTCTTGATAATGATTATAATAAATGAGTTCACGGTTTGAATGCTCTAACTACTAAAATGGACCCAAATAGTAAACTGAAGGACTTATTTAAATCAGACTTATAGGGAGTGGTATTCATCAAAGATTAAAAAGCTTTTGAAAATAATACAATTTACATCAAATCATTCACATGCCAAGTCCGTACGAAGATGGTAATTTATTCACGGCAGTGCAACCGTAAGATAATATGACTGTAACAAACCTTCCCGTAAACCACCACTGCCCTAAATTATCCTGAGGCTTGCCCGCATAAACCAAGAGTATGACGAATGAAACTGTATGAGGCTATATAATTCTACGAATACTATTGAATGAGGCCTACAATAACTACCAACTAAAAAATAAGCGTAAGTAAGAAAAATCCTCCCTGCTTATCCCTCAAATGAAAAAGTAAAGCTATAGTAGTAATTAGAGCCTTATTTACTCACAGGCTAACTAGGCTGGAGCCTCGGGCGTTAGGTTCAAGGAGGCACTGAGTTTGCCTTAGCACGCACCACTGTATGTATTGAATAAAATTTGGTATATAGCCCAAGAGCCCACGAAGGCCAGACATTCGTTATTTTATAAAAGCTAAAAGTTTTTCTGTGCATGTCCCCTATACAGGTAAGAACGACCAGCGACTATAGAGTTTGGGTTGTGGTTACTTGGGCAGGTAACAGGTAGTAAAGGTGTATAAAATAGTATCTTAAATTCGTTAAAGTACAAAGCTCATTTTTGATATTTTCTTCGGGATAACTTTAGAAATCTCGTCATCCATTGCCGAACACTTATGACAGTTGCTACCTCCTGCCAGACACCTCTAAACTTTAATAAATTATAATTCTACCTTCGTTATAGTATAAAAGCAAAATTTTATATATGTTACTTGAGGACCTATAAAAATGTTACCTCAATAGCCGGACAGTTTTAATGGTTTTTACATCTTGCCAGACACATTGAAAGTCCACTGCAGGTGCGAGCGTGAGTGCTTAGTCGATTGCGATCTTTTAATATATCCAAAATAATAATATTTTTATTACGTTCATAGCCATGTTATATAAAGTAAAAATGTTATTTTAATATTATAAAATACAAAATGGTATTATTACATGTAAAAAAATATTTAATCGTTTTTATAAATTTCATCATTGTCGTCGATATTTTCATTTTCTTCGTTGGCATGATCGTTGTCAATATCGCTTTCTTCGTCAGATTCTAAAAATAAGCAAGTTTATACAATTATGAATAATTAAAAAAATATGTACAATAATTTG